CTGCTGAGAAGGAGGCTGCTGCGAAGGAGAGTTTGGTCCGCCCTTGACACCAGTACACACATAGTATCCCAGCCATAGAGACTCGCAGTTCTTACCAACGGAAGGGTTCCAGGTGTAGAACTGGTCGAGGGTGAAGGCCTTATACTGATCAACGATGCTCTGGCAGGTATCACCTGGACTCACCGGGTGATAGAAGAGGCAATCTGAGGCCATTCCACTCAAAAATTTAATTGGTCCAGAGCGAGAGACAAGAGTACCTGTCGATGCCTTTGAAATCATAGTCTGAGTTGCCCTCGAAGTTGTTGGAACTTGGGGAGATGGGGTCAGGCTCGCAGTTGGACCAGGCTCAGAATCGCCTGCAGACAGACAGTAGGTCTTCCCGGCAACTAGAGCATTACAGTTGACACCTGGATTCCACTTCAAAAACTGGGCCATACCAATTCCCCATTGAGCACCTAAGGACTGGCAGGTGTCATCGTTTGCCGCTGTTACAGCGAAAGCGCAAGGGCGGGGAGGTAGGGCAGCTGTGGCAGCCTTCCTCGTACCAAGGAGGATAATGGCTCCGAGTATCAACGGAATGTTCAACATAATTGCAGTTGTTGCGAAGATAAAGCTGGTAATCAACAGAAATTTGAACAGGAAGAAAATTAAGTTGCCAAATCATCAGCTTCTTCCAGCAGCGAAGAATTTCCATGCTTTATATAGGCAATATCACCGTCTTCTTTCACCGGCTTATGCCATGAGCGTGCTTATGGTGAAGGGAGTCAGGAAATTCATGCCTTGATATCGGGTTTCTACGGTAATCTGAGTTAGCGGAAGACGTGAACATCCTTGCGAATGTAGTAAATGGATAGTGATATCAAATATACCGGGTTTCTTCAACACCGGGGCAAATGAATGGAAAACAATTCATTAAAAGACAGAGTACCATGCTGTGAACTAGAGCTCACTGAATTATCCAAAGTGACAAGCAAGTCTGTATGGCTGATTTCTTTTAGGTCAATTACCAACAACACTTCTTCTTTGTTAGATTCAGATTCACCGGCAGCTGTTCTCCTGTTTTAGGCCCCTGTCTATATTATGTGTCCATATACATGAATGTCTGCATCGCTAGATCATTTCCCTTCACTACTTGCTGTAAACCGTGTGCTATTCTAGTGCGTTACGGCATGCCCTTGGCAATCAAACTTGGTAAGCTCCCCTTGATTTCCTAGTTCGGTGAAGTTTTTTCTCTGAATTTCATTATCTGACAGTTTTTATATAAAAACGGGCAGTTGCTAGTTCCAGACCAACCGGTCAAACTATTGCATCTGTCTATCCCGACTTGAAGACCAACAGAGTTGGTTCTGACTCCACTATGCTGCTACCCGGACTCATCTTCCTATTTTTCTCTGTTGTGTCCCTGGTGGCAAAGTGCTCAACTCGAGGAGGACCGTCGACCGTCGTCCTTTCTACCCATAAGTGATTAATAGCATTGGGGTCTCCCTGATCTTCACACACGATAACGAAACCTACGCATTAACTGCATACTTTCCCATTATCATGTCTGTGCAAAACCTTTATATTTCCACTGGGTCTGCGTTTAGATGTGGGGGTCTTGCCTCAGGGCCTCACTGGTGGCAAATTCTTTTCCCAGGTGATGGTTCTACAAGCAGCTCATGGCTGCCCATTTCTACTTACTACTTTGGCATCAACGGCACCGACCTCATCAGCTCCTGTCCCGGATCCTTCACAGTGGAATGGCTCTTTCGAGTGAAAACCACATGTACAAAACTAAGGGAGTACTACCCGTTATTAGAAGGTCTTTACCACTCGGATACATTCACTGCCCGCTTCACTATTTCTCCCGATGCACCACTCCCCAATATTGAAGTAACTGTCAATCGCTGTTAGAATAGCACAGCCTGACTAAAACCCTATCAATGCGTGGGATTTACTGGTTGGTCTCTAGTGAACAATGCCTGGGAGCGGCTACCGCCAGTGCCAGCCCTTGCCTTGTCAAGCCGCTTGCAAAGGAATTGGCGGTTAATGTTTCTAAGACGATGTAGACTTGTTGGGCTGCCCTGAAGGGGAATGGCAGACTATCAAGAAGCCATGCCCCAAGAAGAGCGGTGTGCCACGGCGAAAACAGGGAGCTGAAGTGGTGGTAGATATTCGTATGGCGAATTGTGGTCTATAATTATTCTCTTGGTAATAAAACGAGTCATCTTTATTTACAGGCTGCATTCTGAATTTAACCTCGCCGCTCCTTAAGTTTAGTTTGCTTTTTTGACCGCTAGCCAATTAAGGTCCCCGAATAAGCGGGCCGGACCGGCGCTCGCTAAACCAAAAGTGCTCTAGCCCGCAGCTGCGAGCCGCATCAAAGCCCCTACTTGAACGACAAGTCAGTCTCGTTGGATGTGCGCTCTGCGTCTGAAGGCCGGTTGATATATCGGATATCACTTCTAGTTATTAAATATACCACTACTAATGAGATAGGACGGATGGCAGTATCGACCCCTGCTCAGCAAACCAACACACCGGCGTGTTCTGCAAATATACCGCACCAATCGCTGGCCTAGCCTGAGCTCAAGCAGGTCCCCGAATACAGGTGAAGGATACCCAGATGTAGCAAGAAGGGACATGCACTTTATTAGTATCGCAGTTTCCATGATATACCCGGAAATAGCGGTATTATTCCGCGATTCTACCGGCAGCTCTCTCAATACCAAAGGAACAGACCAGACCCATGAATATATAAGGGTAGACATACATGTCTTGATATATCTATCTTTCAAGATCTAATCATAGTTGTATATTCATATGCAAATTACTTCAGACTATTATGGTTCTCTTTATGCTTGGATTTCCCTTGGTGGGCCTGCTCACCTCTACCCTTGTCGCTGTTACCCTTCCTCTGGGAGATCCTTTCCCCCACAAGACGGCGATTGCTTTCCCGGAGTCATGTCATATGGCTAGTTATAAACTTAAATTGGACTGTGGTTGCCGACTTTAGTCAACACAATGTATAACCTCAACCTCTTCTCATGGGGTTCTCCCCTGATATTGCTGCGTCCGAAAACAGTTCATCCGTTCATGCGGTATCTGGGATACATACTACTACTATACACCTACACCAAGCTTTGGTAACGCATCTTGACCATAAGAAGGACTATTATCTTCCCCGCCATGCCTGGTCCGCTGCTGGAAACAACTCCCAAGGAACGAGAGATCGCGATCACCCATACTCTGAGGTCAAAAATATTAAGACTTGTCTGCAACGCTCTGCCAAACGGAAAAAGCTGTTTTATTCGGTACTTTTGGGGCTGCTATTGTTGGGGTTTATATTGGCAAAAGGCTGAAAAATCCGAGTTGGCTGACTCTCTGATACGGCCATTTAGGTAGAGGATCATATCAGCGGTATTGAACCATCTAAGGTGCATTCCTCCTGGTATGGGGGCAGAATAGGACTAGTGACAGTACTTTGACATAATTGCAGCTTGTATGAATGATCTCGGCATTGCTCAAGCTACCGTCAATTAGGCTAACGCGACATTGTTGATACCTGGACGTACATGGAATCTTCTACTCTCGACCTCACCGTGATCCGTATTCGCAGCACCCCTGCCGTATATTCTCCTTCAAACACAACCGCTGCTAATTTCACAATAAGTGCTGTGTGTGTGTCAGCTTTAAATACTCGTGGCAACTGCCTTACTATTGCCGTTATCCCTGGAGATCACTGTGCTATCCTTGCTTGAGTTTAGGTCGGCAGCTCCAAATACGTGAGTTCAACTATATCTTTAAATATTATGGCGTCCCCAAATACCCAGTTTATACTCTACCAACTTTAATGATGATAGCCTAGTTTTATACAAGGTTGGTATCTTAATCTTCCAGGAAACTTTATTTCCCTGCCGAGATTGGAGAAATTCGAGAGCCTAGTAAGAAATTCAGCAGTGTGACTGTAGAAGATCTTTTAGCTGGTTATGTATACAACCTAGGCCACTACACCCCTAGCCTCTCAGCCCTGATATAGTCATGTGGACTAGTTAGTTTGTAAATACCTGGAAATAGTCTGGTAATTGAATGCTATGGACAGTACCCTCGAAAGCATCGATTCCAGCAATAGAGAAGATTTCGATAACACTTGGACAATGAGATCCGCGCCTCTGGGAATGTTTATATACCTATCTGCGGTGCCGAGGAAGCTGGATTTTTGGCGAGGGATGGCATCATCAACAACCTCTTAGAAGAAAACTACCTGAGTTCTCCTTGTTTGAGGCTTAAATAAAGTGTATGAAAGTACCTATTAGAGTTCACAGCCCAATTAACAGAGTAACTTGAACTAATTTGGTAAACATGATAAACAGAATCGCATTTCTATTGTTGATAGTTGAAAGTCTATTATATTCTTTAGTTGTATACGTTTCCTTGATAATTTTGGTCTATATCTTGTATAGAAACCGTCAGCTTGAGAGCTCTTCTATTCAATATCCAGCTTTCAACCTTATATGTGTTCAGATGAGAGATGAAAGAGTTGCCACGGATTCTGCACACCCATTTACGAGGGTAGGAACCCTCTTTGTAGGGAGGTCTAGTTAGGAAGGGAGGGCTCCAAGGTGAATGGATGGATCGGGCCATCCATTGCGGGTCCGTGCCCTGATATGGAAATGGAATAATAAAAGTCCGGCGAAGATGAGTCAGCCTCCCGCGTGCCCGTGCCTGCCCAGGTGGTGCCTGATGTTTATATAAGCGCCCCAAAAGCAGCAAGTCCAACACACGACAGCCTTGTAAGCCGGGATGAGGGCTTCACGCCTTGCTTTCGCTTGACGAAATGTCCTGGAGATGAAGATGTATCACGGCCCGCAAGTCAAGAGTCTCTCAAGCTAGCCATATATTAAATGTCAAGCAATACCCCTCCTCTTGACATGAAGGGGCACTCTGGGCGGAAAGCGGAGTTCCTGGACGGGGTATTGGATCTTGTGCGACGGAGGACGGGGATATCAAGGATGTGCTGTTACCTAACCAGCCAGCAAGGCCGCATGAAATAACAGAGAGAGAACGATACTCGGTAAGAAACCAAGCAAGCCTCCTTACTTACCCTGTAACTAACAGGTAAATAACAGTATCAGCCAACCCAGAGGCCATCCTTGCGGTGAGCAGCCAACTGTGCGAACGCCACGAAGCATGCCAGCGCCCACATTGCCAACACACCCGGACTGACTGACAGCAAGGAAGATGACAAGAAACAGGAGAAAACTCACACTCTAGAGACGAAAACGAGATTTACGGGAAAAAAGAGTGTGAGCGAGGCTCCAAAATGAAGAAAAACCCCTCAGGGGTCACTTTGCCAGGAAATTGCGCCCTCCACTGGCTCATCAATAATAGGGCAACTATGAATAACAGCAACACTGGTTACTCCCCTGGCTAATAAACCTTCAAGGCCGTTGGACCTGAGTAACGCTGAGATCAAGATCGGCACAGCTGCGAGGCCAATCACTCCTTTCCCTGAGCAAAAAGCAATGAGAGGTGAATGAGAGCGAAACGAGCAGACAAAGCTGTCGGGCGGCTCCAGAGGCTCACACGTAGCTTTGCATTTGACTTTCTCGCAGGAAGAGAAAAAGAAAAGAGAGTGAAAAAATGCGAGGGAGAGCGAAGAGGCTGCTCGTATTTTTGGGATGCGCCCTGGTCTAGTTTAGATCCTTTACTCTTTTATATTTCGCCCCCAGCGCAGCCTTTTTCTTCCCTTCCCTCTTTTTCTCTTTCCCCCCTTCTTCTTCTCTTCTATCCATCGCCAGTCATTCATTTGGACAGAGTCGCTTTTTTCGCTCTTTTTACCTACGGCTTCGGCTTCAGCTTCTACAGCTCCCACGCTCTTTGCATTGCTTTTGCTCTTTACTTGCGACTCTGCGACATCTCCCTCCTTGCGACAAGCCACTGTAGCAGTACGCGCCCAACTGCCAGCTTCGACTTCTCGACCTTTCGTCTGCTTTGCTCGTCTATAAAGACCGCTGCTTCTTTAGTTCTGCCTTCAGCGACATCCTGTCAATTCGATCTTAACTTTTAAACGCCGCCAAAATGCGCTTCTTCATTACCTTTCTCTCTGCGCTCCTTGTGCTTTTCGCACCCTTTTGCGCCGCCCAAGATGTTGTCTACTCTACTTCCACTCACACCCAGACAGTGACTATGACCATCATCCACTCTGTCTCTGCGCCTACTCCTAGCATGAAGCCTCCGGTTAGCGCCAACAGCACTGCTCCCTACCCATCTTCCATGATGACCAAGACCTGGGGCACCGGTACCGGCACTGGCAGCGTTCCTACTCCCACTGGCAGCAACCCTGCGCCTCAGCCTACCTTCAACGCTGCTCCAGCAATGGTCGCCAGCTACGGCTCCGCTATCCTCGCTGGCTCTGTCGCCCTTCTTTTTGGCGCTGCTCTATAAGCCGAATCACTCTTGGGCATGAACTCAACCTTCTGTCACGCGCAATACTTCGGCAGTTACCTTTCTCTCCTGGGCCGATTTATGGACTTTTTTTTTCTTCAACAAAGATCAATTCATCCGCCTATTCTTCTTCTTCTCTTGACCCCCTTTCAAAGGCCCGGGAGGTTATTTACGACGATTTTCAGACCCTTGTTATGTTATATGGATAGTCGAATGGCCCCCTTTTTCCCTTTTACTCTTCAACGACCTTCTATTCTTCTACATACCCCCTTTTGATACCATCTTTCACTTCTTTCTAGTGTGAGTGAGCATACTGGCTCTGGCTCAAGTCAATCATATGCAAACACCCATCTCCTCACCGACCTTTGTCTCTCCCCCTTTTTATCTTTCATCTATCTACTTTCTTCAGGGGAGGGCAGTGCCTTGACCCGGTCCAGCTTGTCTGTCTTAAGTCCTGGTACTAAAATTTTGACATTCAACTTCGCTTCTTCAACTTCTTCTACCTCCTCAACCTCCATCATCTCATGTGATAACGCTTCTTGATATTATACCCCCCTTTTTTTACCATCACCTCATATTCCCACACTCATATATATATTATATAAAAAAAAAAAACGAAGAAAAAAAAAATGAAAGTAGGATCCTTTGTTCTTCTTTCACCGCTGTAGCAAACATCTTCGGGCCGAGCAAGGTATGTGCATGTCTGTCGTCTCCAGGTTCAGCAACCCATGCTGCATATTTAGCTACCGTGATACATGCATGGTGCTAGTTAGTCGACTAAGCGCGAAAGCGTCTTGACAGGTGGATTCTCGCCATAGCTTGCTGCAGGACTCATGCAAGGCACGCTCACTCCCTCCTACATGTGACGTAGACACTGGGTATGCGACAGCCGAAGGCCGAAACTGGAGTCGGGACGCTCGGTGGCCTGATCTATCGTTTCATGGCGATAGACTAGTGAGAGGGAGATATCGCCGTCCAGGTGTCAACCCGGTCGGTAAAGATGATCCGGCTTCTCTCGGATAATATAGGCAGGTATATGTAGTTATATGGACTACCCTGATAGAAGACATCCTACCGACTATGGCCGTGGCATCGATGCTTCTCCTCAAACGGCCGAGCTCGACATAGCTCCCACCAAGACAAGTTGACCGGCTGTTGACGCCAAACCTGTCGCGAAGATCCAGAAGGGTTCCAAGGAGGCATATCCTTGAGTATAAGCTATTAATGCGAAACACTAGAACTGAACGTAACCCCATTCTATCAATTAATGTAGATTTAACTGTGGTCTACCAAGATGCATGTCTGATGGCTGTGATCGTCAACTACTCTCGGCCAGCGTCTTCGCTTCTCCCCACAAGAATAAGCAAACATCTCCGCCATCTGCCCATCCACCCATCTACTTCTGCTGTCACTCGCTCGACTCTGTCTATCCTTTATCGCCCATCTATCGCCCATCTTATCGAAGTCGAGACCTTCTTCTCGCAGGTCGGGTCGGGCAACAGGTCACGTGTCACGCGCCTTTGGGTGACGTTTTAAAAAAGGCGCGTCGTCGCGACGAGGACGAAGATAACATAGAAACATCACTTCCTCACGCCCGCCCGGGTGTCCGTATCCCAGTATTCACTGTGGCACGTACGGGCGTGTCGTCGGCCGTGATCGTGGGCGTGCATTTTCTGTCTGTTTCCCATGCATTCAATCTAGAGAAGAGTCCGGTTATAACTAATGGTCAACCACGGGTCTGTCCTACCTACCACCCAAACAATGGACTCTGACCCGCCGCTCCCATCGCCGCCCCGGCTCAACCGCAAGATAAGAGTCGCAGCTCAGTCATCGAAGACTCGTCCTCCTTTCCCATATGGCTCATCCACGTCGTCGAAGTCGTTGAACAAGCTTCTAGGGAGCAGCGGAACGCCGTCGAGTGATCCGCCGCTCTTCTCCAGCGATGACTTCCAATCGTCAGCGTTGGAGAATTATGATACCACAGCCAGAGAAGATGCTGAAGATGGCTTGCCAGAGGGCCCAATAGGCCGAAAAAGACGTTATAGAGGGACTTGGTGGGGACAGAAGCTGGGAAACGAGTTACAGTCCATGCAGAATAAGCGGACGAAGAGGATGGGGTTCAAGAGTAAGAGGAACGTGGACAGTGGTGTCTGGTTGGGCAGTACCGATACTACTGACGATGGGGACGAGTCTGCTGCTGTCTTCACCTGTGGGTCAGATGATTCCGTGTTTTGTGAAGAGATGGGAGTGTCGACCGGTCGTCCTGCGAGTATAACTCGCTGCAGTGCTTCTCGAAGGTTTCCGGCGCCTGAAACCGCGGGTATACCCATTGAAAGCAGCAGTAAGAGCCCAGTCACAAAGGGGAGCCGGAGTACCGAGTCTACAGCTCATGCAAAAGCTAGACAAATTATCAACACCTGTCTTGATGAGGGAGATGATAGGGTTGATCTCTCGTAAGTCCTGGCTTTGCTTCATCCTATCTTTTCATTCTTCAACTAATTTGGCCGACAAGATATCTGGACATGGGCACAATCCCACCGCATATCCTCCCTCCTCTAGCACAGTTAACCAAACAACCAACTGTGCTCGAACACGGAGCTTCAGCTCAAATATTCAGTCCCCTGGAACCATCCCTCCAGCTGTACCTGACCCGTAACTTACTCACCTATGTTCCAAAGGAAGTGTTTGACTTGGTGAGCATCCGATTTCTCAGCCTTCGTCAGAACAAGCTCAAGGAAATACCCGGAGCTATTAGAAAACTTACTCTGCTTCAAGAGTTGAACGTAGGTGGGAATAACCTACGGTACCTGCCTTGGGAACTTCTAGGATTAATGCAGGAACACGGAGTGCTGAAGAACATCACCTTGTATCCAAATCGGTTCCTTCGTCCGGATCAATCGGAAGTAGTCAAATGGCATATCAACACCGAAGCAGGTGGAATTATTGCCCTTTACCCTAATACTCGCGAATCCGAGAACGGAAATGCGCCTGCTACATCAAGCGAGGCCCTGGAAAAGTGGAAACCAATTCATGTTGCTACCAGTGCACCCGAATACTTTGATATGGAAGGGCGTGCCGTGGACAGACAACGGATCATACCAACGAATACCCCATCCCTTCGTGATTTGGCCTTGAAGGCTTGTTCTCGTTCCCCTTACTTTTCACGTTTTATCGAAGATGATGAAATTATGGCCCCTCCTGGGTCATCGCTCTCGTCATCGCTGCCTTCAGTCAGTAACACTCGTTATCAAGATCCTATTGTTCGGCTTCTCAGCTTCGCGAATGAGGTCAGACAGACAGGAGAGAAAATCTGCTCCGTGTGCGGCAAGTCATACGTCATGGACAAAGTAAGGTGGATTGAATGGTGGGATTGCAAACCAGCTGAGACCCGAGGACAGGAGCATGGAAGGAAGCCAGGACAGAGGTTTTGCCCTTTGCCATTCATGAGAAGAGGCTGTAGCTGGGTTTGTACGCCTGATCTTCCTACCGCCGAGGAAGAAGTTTAGCCGCCAGTTTCTATTTAATCCGGATACTTTTTTATTTGTTTGTTTTCATTGCGGTTAAATTGCACAAAGGGATACATAGCGGTTTTCATCGTATTAGGCTTGTTTGTGGTTCATAATTCGCTCGCTTCCAGGACATAAGAAATAAAGTAATTGAGCGGCTTAACTCCCTTTTCCCCCCGCTAAAAGTATCATATCAATTCATCATCTGCGTAGTGATGTCTAGTTGAGCTCCTCTACCACAGCACCGTTGCCATTACCACCGCCGAACTCCTCGCCAGGTTCAGCAATCTCAAAGTCCTCACTAACAAAAACCTCGGTCTCCTTCAGTTCCGGTTTGTCATGCATATCATCAATCCATTTCAGCATACTTTCATAGGCCCGAGGGATGATGCATTCGACGTTTTTCGACTCTCCAGACGAATAACAGTTACAGCCATACTCGTATCTTCCCGCCACAGGCTGACCTAACTCTTTGTCAGAGATCAAATAAGCGCGGCAACGAGTCGATATGAACTCTGCGAATTCCGCTGGGTGCAGATGGTTCATGTCATGTAACGGGTTACCAAGTGCCATGGAAGATATGCGAGACTTCCACGTCGACCCTGTCCAATGCACCGTTAATTCTGAATTCCCATTTCTATAGATTAGGATGCAAATAGGGGTTCTTACAATGTTCAGCCAGGTACCTAACGGCAGCAAGACTGCCCTCTGCAAGTCCAATAATATCAATCTTTGCATCTGGAGCAAGTTTACCCAGCACCTCATCAAAAACATACGTAATATGGTCCTGCCAAGTTTCATGCCCGGGTATCTTGTTTCGAACGGTCATCTTCATAGGCGGGTCAACGGCGTGTTTCCTAGGGAGTGCCAGCCATGACGGTAATGAAATGGCATTTTCACCTGCGCAGTGCCAAACTAATTGCCCAGGGTTGGTCAGGATGAGACCTGGTGCTGGAGATTCACCTTTACCGCCTAAGACAGCTGCTGAGAAGTCCACTGCAGACCCAGAGTTGATGGTTTCATGGCCAATAATCCGGTATGCCCAGATACCGAGATCCTGAACTGGCTCGCCAAAGACAACGATAATGCGTTTGTCTGTTTTAAACGTGGGGGAGACCAGAATCGGTACGTGTTGTTCATTTGCTTTGGCCCCGAGAGGCAGCCGCAATGTCTCTAGCCCTTGATCATGTAGGCGGGATATCACGATGTTTCGAATGCAAGCTATTATCATGTCAGTAGGGACCAACCAGGGAGAAGAGACCGGAGTGTGATCGTAATATGAAGGACTCACTGTTCATCGCTTCTTTCTGGAGCTCATTGTAGCGCTCATTGGCGTTGATTCTATAGAGAAACTTCTCCTCTGGGTTCGAGATCATGCGTATCTCATCCTTGTCATTAATGAAATATCTAGCAGTCATACATATTAGCCTCGCTTCGCGTCCAGGTGCATGAATACATAGAGAAGAGAGGTGTTCGGAGAAGTTAGGGGAATACTGAGATAAATCAGTGACTCACCCGAGTTGCTTGAGATTCGTAGGAAACACGGGATCCTTGGGCAGGTCCTCTCTCCGGAAGACAAACATGATGCTTCGCTTAACAACCGACTTGGTAGCTCGAGATACCGGCTGTAGTAGAGCGAGATGGAGCTTTCTCGGAATGTGAAGGAAAGAGAAACAGAGTCCCTGGAGGTCCAACATTTGGCTGAAAGAAAAGAAGGAGAGCTAAGACGGGTATCTTTATATGAACGCAAGCCAGCAGCAGCAAGTGAAAGGAACACGCCAGACCAAGTGACAGCACCACCCCAGTGAATACACAGCAAGAGCCAATAAGATGCAATATTGATGAAATATGAAGGCAAGAAAGCAAACGAATGTGAGAGTAGAGCTTCGATGAAAAGCAGCTTTCCGTCCGAGCCTTCTGGGATGCAGGGATATAAAGACCTGGGGAGCTACATGAGACCTAGCTCCTATTGGCATGGGCATCAACATCTCATACCTCGCTATCTGCAGAGCTAGGTTCAGAGATCCAGGAACCTCAGCTCTTGATAGGCACCAGATGGTCGATGTTTCAGATGCTATGGGAGTTTATAAATAGCAGACATAGCGTAACTAGCTCACTACCCAAGAAAATGTGACCGGGAAAATCAGCCTCAAAACGCCCCTTTGAAGCCGCCTGATTTGATGGGGGTTTGGAGCTAAGAGGCACCATGAAATCTTCACTCGCAGCTGGGAAGAGAGAGCTCCTCCCTGCCGTGCCGTGCGGAATTAGTTACCTCACTCTAAAACATGGGTTAGCGCTGGGTTTAGGCATCCATGATTATGAGAGCTCTCGGTCTTGGGCAGCATCGTGGGCCACCACGATTTACGGCGGGCATCTCATAGTTCTGGCTGTAGGTCTTCATGAAATCCTGGCAATCGATAAATTTATAAATCTTCTGTAATATACATGTCCCATACCGCCTTTATAACCCCAGTGTTGCTTTAAACATGTACAAAAGGCAAGGAAAGAGGAAGGTCGTCGGATGAACTAATCGAGGCACTATACGTAATTTCGAAGCTTACCAACTGGCCTTCCTGACACCAGGGAGATCTCCGGCTAGGGCTTGCATTCTGAATTGATACTGAAAGAAAGGGAAAAGACAGGTCAGCAACGGATATCATATCACTCTTTAACAGTCGTACTGGTAGAATAAAACTCACTCTTGCCAGTTTAAAGTCCCTGAATACACCCCTTGCTATTCCTCCAGCAATACATCTGTTTTTTATTTGCGACGGTCTGGTATAGGCGTGCATCTGAGAAAGCTTCAGTTGCGCCTGAGCGCGAACTCGCATAGGAAGACTGGTGTTGTGGGAGATATATCGAAGTGCTTGTCTAGATAGGAGAAAAGACGTCAGCACAGAGTCAAAAAGAGAAGAGAAACTCCATATTTAGAAGCGCAACCGGGGCAAATTTGACTCCAATTCATTGGGATATAGAGGATGCAGGTGCCTACCTCTCTGGCTCATTCTCAGCGAATACCATTCGCTTGGTGTGATCACGAATAACACGGGCATTGATGAACCCGGAGAGGTCCAGCTTCTTTGCACGGAATTGAGACATGGTGTTTGATGATATGGGTAACAGAATCGTTCTTCCTGCGTTGCTGGCGGTGATGTCGGGTTTGACGTTGAAATTTGCCCTGGCTTCGCGGAAAATGGTATATTGCCCAAACGGGTTAGCGCCAAGACATGGCCGCTCAAAAAACCAACTACATATAAATTTGAGAGTATTGCAATACACAGCAATTCTATATATTCCAAAAGTATGAAAACGGTTTATACGGTGGTTGATGGTGGCCCAGAAAAGCCTTTTAATCTGGGGCTGAGGACTTGGGATTGTCAAACCCCAGTCATTTTCATGTCCTACATTGTGAATTGGCATTACGATAGGTTTTGATAGAGCATGTTACCTTGGTATGGCCAGGAAGGGCCAGTATGGTACCTCCATCGGCGGCCAAACACAGGCTTGATGATTTTTCAGCTTCAAACAGCCACCTAGGACGATGACGATCCATCCAAGTCTTCTATCCGGGGAAACGCATCAATTGAGAACTGTTATGGCATCTCTCTATATTCAATGTACAAAGGCACTTCTGATTTATCAGAAAAGTCGGCTGGGGATAGCACGCATTTTATCCGGCCACGATATAACAGTACAGTTGTTTTTCATGGATTCCTTCACACCATCTAGTGCTTTCCGCTCTGCTTGCCAGCATTGGGGTTTCGGGGATCGTTTCTGAATTCCTCAGCTAGTAAAAATATAATGTTAGTTCCGGTATTCATAACGCATTTTTGGTGCCCAGAATGGGCTTCGGGAGGACACGGTATTATCCAGCATCGCAGAAAAATGTCTTCACAGCGGTATTTCCAAGGAGCAAGGTCAACTCACAGTTCATCATGGCATTCTGGAGAGAGTTGATTCCGTATCCGACGACCAATGCTATAAATTAGTTAGCTGGGTGCCAACTGGGAACAAAGTACTGCGTGCAGTCTGTTGTGCAGCCGGAGTTGATGTTGAAGGGCTGGACAAAATCGGTAGTGCAAAATCCGGTCGGCATAAATGGCGAAATTATTCTAAAACATACCGGCGACGAAGAATGGAGCAATTGGTTTGGCTGGTTGAAGTGTTAGCAACGTCCGGAAAAGACACCGTCTAGGAACTTAGCGCGGAGGTACGGACCAACGAGGGCCGGGAACTTCTTTGGGAGAAGAGGCATCTTGACTGAAGAGGGCGAAGGCGGAACGAGGTTCTGTCCTGAGCTGTGCGGGTGGGATGGCGATAACTTGTCTTCGGGCTTGAGAATTGATGCGTTGAGGTTGAAGTTGGAGTTTCGGATCTTTTCGTCGACAATGAGTCACGTGACCAGGCGCTTGCCCGTTGTGACTGTTTGGGCGAGGGAAACATCGCGAGTATCAAGCAGCGCAGTAGGTAAAGACAATAAGCATCCAAACACCCAATTCAAGAGGCTAAAGCCTGTATTTACAATGGCATCTGCGTTGTCTGCTTCGGTTTCTTCTTTTCGGGCCTCGCTGCAGTTACTTGAATCTTCAATCGATATCCTTGATGAAGGTGTAAACGACTTCCCCCGCCTCTGCAAAGTACTCCAGTCTACTCGAGTAAGTTTATGGTAGTTTCTGACAAACAGCTGCATTATACTTGTTGCTAACCATATCTCTGCTCAGCACTTTGAATTGCTTCCTGAACCTACCTTGAAAGAAGCACAACAAGCTATTATGGATGAAATTACACCCAGTATATCGCATCTCATAACGCTTGCCTCTAACCATACCGATAAGCTTGCGCGTCGACAGGAGGCCCTGAAAGCCAAAGCTGAACTGCAAGAGGGACGATTATACCAAGAGCCGCGTTCTTCTAGAAGTGACCTGCATCACGATAGAAAACGAACCTCAATGGCTGGTGGTGTTCCGGGAAGTAAAGCCGCTGAATTACGCAGGCTGACGCAAAAGAAGGAGCGCTTGCAGTATGCTGTTGATCGACTGGAACTTCAATCGAAACAGCGTGAACGTCAACTAAGGAAAAGCATGGCTGCTCCCTGAATAGGGTTATTTGATATTGGACATTCGAATCCGGCGTCATTACTATACAATCCAAGGAGGCCATTCAACGACTTTTCTCTCAAGGTTGGTTGAGCAGATTACCCTACCTCCGTCGATGTGATAAGGGCAACGTTGTCAACGTTCACATACAGGCATATCTGCCTAAGGCGTGCCGGGCTCCATATATACAGTTCTTATATGCCGTGAGGTAGTGATGGTTTGTCCATCCGCTATCTCGGAATGTAAACAGACGAGGCAAAGAGCTGGAGAAGGGATTATGCCCAGTGGGGAATTCAACCCCGTGAAATACTAGGCCTAAGTCTAGTGCAACCTGACACTAGAGGACGGACTGAGAGAAGTAATATACATTATAATAAAAAAATATTTCTAGTAATACAGTCTGTCTAGTATGCAAAACCCTGCTGTTATACAGATACTCCGTCAATCGTAAAAATTAAGTTGAGTTCCCATTCCCCCAAGATACCAGTGAGACGCCTGAATTGCTCGTATGTGCGTTGATGAACTGAAGAAACTTATATCGCAGAGAAAGCTCCAGCTTGGTCTTTACTCATGGCCCAACTGTTTGCCGTATTTGCGGTCGCGCTTCACTTCCATCTGCCTCGCCCACTTCGGCACTTTGTTTTCTTTCTTATTCTTCCCAGTTATTCGCTGGTCGTGATAGGACTTCACTCTGTCGGCAAGTTTCCGCCCCTGCTCTTCATCTGAATCGAATTCCTCGCTCTCATCTGCGAGGGCAGCACGTCTCCGTCTTGAATCCGCGCCTGGTTTCACTATCCTCTTCTTGGCGGGAGTTGCCTCCTCTATTTTGATGGCTCGGACGGGACGATGGATCCGGGTCTTCGCTCCTAGAGGCCACAAATCTCCCCATGAGGACTTACGGGCATCTCGATACGCTTGTTTGCTGAATGAGCGGGGAACCGTCCAGCGCTCTATTTTCCCTTCTGGAGTGCATAAATCCATCGAGACATGGCCTTTTCGTTTGATAGGAGGCAGCACGACTCGGGGCCACAAGAGCGGATCGATGATCTCCTTTTTAGCATCATTGGCGTTTGCTTCATTAATATCATCTGAATGTTCATAGCCGGCGAAAGCTGCATTGGTTGTATGTTTATCCTGCACCAAGCCGTCAACTTCCCGTCTATCAACACCTCGTTGGACAGCAAGGTAGCTGAATTCCGCATCCTCGTGGTTGTGAGATGGGTTTCCAAGGATACGCTGCAATACGTGTGGTCTGACATATCGCTGGGCAAACCGACAGAACTGCTTGGGCTGTTTCATTTTTCCGGGCTCAACATACATGGGACATCGAGCATGAGTAGTACATGGTGCAATTATCATGCCTTTGCTTTTCTCAATTTGCCCAGTTTGAGTCTCTGGAGCGGGATCGGGATCGGAAACCTCTGAAGACCCAGGAGATTTAATCAACCGTTCTAATATCATCGCCCGGGCGCCTCCAATCGCCGCAAAGCCCTCCTTGTGTCCTTTTTCAAGGAGTATCAGAATACCTCCTTTAGGATTTAACATAGCCCAAAGATTTTGAATGTAGTCCTTTTTTTGATAGTCCTCCTCGAAATGTAATAACGAATGAGGAGCAACTATAATATCATAGTTCTTTCGATTCCCAGGCTTCTGGGGACCAAGCGATGATTCCCCTGCAAGGCGTAGGTAGTTTGGCAGTCGTGGAAGGAAGGTAGTATTCTCCAGGAGGCTGCTAACACGATGTCGCAGAGTGTCCGATCCAGTCAAAACTGTAGATTTCCCTGTTGCCAGGCTTCCTTCCGGATGATCCGGGTACATTAGGGACCATTCAGATCGCAGTACTTCTCTCCATGCAAAAACACCAGCGCCACCACCGCTTGCATCAAGAATGCTCGGTCCTCCTTCTTTGCACATAAGACCGCGAATCCACTTTGTCCCGAGTCTTTTTCGCGTCTCTACCAGCGCACTTAAAACTGATGCATAGATTCCAGGGTATAATACTGACATAAACAAAGTGCTTTCAATCGGGGACATTTGCTTTTGCGATGCTGTGAGAGGGATTGGGTTCTTTGGTCGAGATTTTACGACCCTAATAGAATCGGGCAGTTGGTCTCCCCCAAATATTTTATGGGCCGTGTCAGAAATGTGTTTATTAGAAAAGGCAGCAGTCATTTGTGTGATCGGCCTCGTCATGGTAGCTGCTGGAGCTGTGACACTACGTGGGCTTGTGCCAAACTTGCCCTCATCCACAAATGGGTGTGATTGAACGAATGGGTCTTCACTGTCGAATGTTGGAGGTTCGGTAAATAGCTCCGCCCCAAGCGATGCTGCTACCTGACGGGACCTCTCTGTAGTATGGGTATCTACCTCATGGCCAGCGGACTCAGGGATGCCTACCAAGTATTCACCTTCAGCAGCTTTTGGTTCAGTCGAGTGATGATCTTGTGCCATCTCCACTTCTTCCCACTCTCCATCCTTGTTCTCCCGGAAAATCTGGTCTTCCTCTTTCTGTGGCTCTTCTGGCTTGGTAATAATTGGTTCGCCGTATAATCGCCTGTATAGCTTAAGTCCATCCTCGTGAAGTTCATCGGGTGGTACAAAGACGCCGTGCTTCTCCCATACTGCTCTCACTTTTGCTTCTAACGCCTCCGGAGTTCGGTATCCCACAATAGTACTGATGGATTTTATAAGATCCAAGTCTTCGTTTATGGCTGATTCAGGCAAGTCCTTGAGTTCCAGCTCGTCGATTTGCTGGACCAGTTCTTCATGGCTGGCGTATATTTTATCGAGAAGTTGATAGAATTCTTCTTTTCGAACGGGGGACGAAGGGTCAGTTGACGTTGAATTAAACCGCTTGGTATGAGTGACAGGCAATTGTACGAAAACGTCTGAGGTGCGAGGTAATTTGGCTAATAGCACGCCGGAATTCCTGAGGCTTGATACCGTGGAAAGAGCTTTCGCATTTTGGCGGTGGCAGTTTCGTAACGAGAAAGGTATCCAGAGTCCGTGTCTATAACTTCGGAGGGGCGCGTGTGTGCATGTCGCACGCACGGTACTCGTAGTCCGCTGAGATATCATCCTTCTCGTTCAGCGAAGACAGGAAGCAGAAGCGCTTGATTAAGGGCTTCATTACTGTCTGCTCGATATAAAAAAAATCTCCAGATGAATAATCCGAAGCTTCTCAGGAACTGCCAAGACAACGCTAGCTTTATCTATACTAGCTATGAGCCGCTTTTGGATTTGACTTTTTGGTGAAGCTTAAATTTTGAGTTATGCTTAAATTTGATCCCGAACCTTAGTTACGTTGCTCAAGCCTTGAGGTCTGGGGGTTAAAGAGAGACAGAAAATAATGAAGTGGGTATAGTGTATACAAGGACGAGGTCAATTTGAATTATTAAGTGTGTAGTCAGCTTGCGCACTCTATACATTATACTATTACATCGGATGTCTTTCTTCCGGGCTATTGACGACCTAAGTCTAGTTGTTCGGGCCATTGATAATCCAGGACAAGTTGAAACGGCGCCAGATAATGCAACGATGAGACTTTTCTCCGCCTTTATCCTCGTACCAGTCACTCTCAACCAAGGCACCAATCTTATAGTCACTCGTCTTCGTCATACTGGAGTAGCCACCTTCATTTCCAACATTTCCTAGGGGAGCATCTTTCAATTCACGCCCGAAGTTGAATTTGGCTGCATCCTTGTCGTAACTGATACGAACACGCATAGCTGTACGGCGGTCTGTGGAGGCAGAGTTCATAAAAATAGTTCTAGCCGGCTCATCACTATTGTAGCTTAGGATCGAGCCCTGGCAGGCAGGGTCAGGAAGACCATTATCGGTAGCAAAAGGACCAAAGCCAGCAAGGGTGCCACGAGCGACAGAGCGATGGCCCATAGGACCTGGACGGTCATTGCGCATGAGCTTTCCATCAGGAGTTTGGCAGATGGTACCCTCAGATCCAGCGCCTTTGAGAACCTGCATAGACCAGGTACGGTTGCCTGATGGTCCATGCCCAATGATGTTGCGGCCTTGTGCCGGAATGACTAGTTCACCAGTGGATAATTTAATACCATTTCCAGGGCCGACAGCATCCCATGCTTGGCCATCTGGTGTCAAAGTTTTGGTCATGTCCACAGGCTTAGTCCAGGTATCACCATCATCAGTGCTAGTAGTGAGATAGAGATGACGACGGCCAACCCAGGTGGAATCAATCGTTTTGGTTTTTGTTCCGTCTGGTAGGGTGTTGCCTCCGTTCTGACTATAAGCACCGTCGTTCATGGACAAGAAGAGATAGATGGTGTTGCCATCAACAACTGGGGTAGGATTGCCCCAGGTATGCGGGCCAGTTCCGACGACCTCACGCAAGGATTCCCAGTCCGTTGGATTTTCGCCGTTGTTGGTGGGAGACTTCGTACGCTTGTAGACGAGGTTGATGTCACCGTAGTCTCTGTTGTTATGACGGCGCCCTTCAGCAAATGCGAGGATACGACCAGTGTTGGTACGGACGACAGCAGGAATGCGGAAAGAATGGAAGCCAACTCCGCTAGCCAATTTATCGGGTGAAGGCATGTTTGCGCTTCTAAACAACGCATATTCCTTGTGATATTGAGCAGCCTTTCCGGCTGGATCATCAACTCTAGCCTGGGTAGCAGTAGAAGAAATTGCGACTACTGCCAGGGAAAGTAACCACTGTTTAATCCCCATATTGATTAACGTATGAGTTCGGGTATCAATACTGAAGCTGGAGAGTCGGGGATCAGGCGGAGGTATAATCAGATTTCAAAGGGAATTGTTCTTGGTGTTCAATTATGAGCCTGTTACCTAGACTTTTGTAGGTCTGGAGTGAGCAAGCAGAAAATACGGCAGTCAGCTCCCTTTAAAAATAGTGAGATGCTTGCTTCTAGGGTCGTATTGAGCGGTTTACATTCTCATGGAACGTCGTAAGGATTATCAATATCTAAGCCTCTTGCAATTCGTACCTCACGAGACAAGTATCCTAGATATGCCCATGTGCATTTTTACTCCTAATGCGATTGGCCATTTATAGGGTGCAGGTTCGTTTAAGCAGTGAAACGTTATGTTTACCGGCCCTTGACCGATCTGCAGCTTTCAAGTGAGCAAGGGCTACTCCGTATAGAATAGCAACATGTGAAGCTCAGATTATCAAGGGGTGGGATAATGTTCGCGTTTGTAGAAGAGCAAAATCACTCGTCCAAACACAACCTCGCCATAAAGGTCTAAATTAAATCTTTTAAAACGACGGATATTGCATGGTAAGCGGATGGGCATGCTTTCGTTTCCTGTTTATCTTCGTCTCCCGCCCGAGGCAACGTCGCTCTGATGCTTCATCAGGCTCGTATTATGCATAGTAGGCTAAGAGTGAATGTGCTATAAATAGAACGTATATGGCCCGGATGAATTCATATCTGCGGCGTCCGACTTTGCCGACTCCAGCCAAAACTGTGGGGAAACGAGCGGCGTTAATTATAGGTTAATAAATGAATTGCATATCAAGCATATCAGCATATATAAGAAGGAAACCCGGAAATCCGAATACGATGGGTAAGGCCAGCGGCACGGAGTTTAGAATACTGAGACATTAGCAGGTTGAAATCAATCGCTCTCATCTCCCATCAAGGTAGATAGAGCCGCTCTCCATCTTGCCACCTCATGTTCAAGAGCAGAGATCTTAGCCATGGCTGATAGAAGGCTAGGGTCTTGACTTTCCACTCTGACTTTTTCTTGAACTCTTACTTCTTCACCACGCCATTGAAATACATCACCAGTCTCATCATGCGTGGGCTGTTTCACTCCAAAAAGCTGGTCTCGCAAAGAAAATCCTCCTAGAGAAAGATGAGGTGCGAAAGATGTTGCTGGGGTGGATTCTGCTGAAGTGGATTCAAGAGTGCGAAGATATAGCACGAGTGCAGCCTCTGAAATTGAGAGGTGAAACGAGAGGTAAGGTGGGAGAGGCGGGTCGAAGCTCTATATTGGGTCAGCATTATCCATAGTTCCCACTTAACCAGACTTTGTTGGTTGAGATTCCAAGGTGGCAGATCATACGTTACCATCTGCGCTGCCTTCAAACCAGGGCTGTTTAATCCCTTCGCCTTCTCCTTTCAAAGTTTGTCTCGCTTCAGCCAGGTTATCGCCCAGGAGCCGTAGTTGGCCGGATATAAAACTCGCATCTCTCGAGTCCCCTGTGTATGTGCTGATATCAACGATATCAAGACTATCGTTGATGAGACGGCGAACAGTCGAAAGTTGATTCAGGACAAGTTCAGGAGCTGCCGGGTTGGATGAAAGACATAATCTCGTTGAAGGCGAACCGCGTGGCGGAGGCAGGGAGTGAAGACGGAGTTGAACATCCTAGTGACCCTATTGTTAGCATGGGAGTGTCGTATTCAGGTGCGCCAACACTGCCTTCTAGCAGTTCTTAACCACAATTTATTGTCTCCTATTTCTCCACAGAGACACGTACTCCTTTAACAATTTTCGAGCCCATTCTCGTCACAAATCCCTTAACACTTTCCGATCGCATGGATGAAAGCACGAGTGTAGATCCCGTATCATTTGGTGCCAGGAGAGCGTAACACTCCTGCAACCCGTCTCGTAACGAGGCCAGTGTTCCTTGTAAGGAGTTCAAGAGCCATTGTAACTCGTTAGACTAGGTGGTTCGTTAGTTGCTATTCCCGAAAGAGCCGGATCGATACACATACCAACGATATCTCCTCTTTTTCTTTCAGCCGTTCAGCCGGAAGCGGAGGATATGCCCAGGCAGCCATGATTATGGTATTAAACTATTGTATGACGCTGAGGTGTTATTGTGAGAGTTGTAAAGCGCAGCTGTTGTTTGTTGTAGCTTCAAGAAAAGCCGACGTCATCTTCCAGCTCTGTGCAGTTAACCATTAGTTATCTTCCAGGTTGGGAACTGACGAAGTTAGTTAGATGGCTAACTAGTTACGGCAACCCACAGTGTCACCTTACGCAAATCTTTATCAACTCGCTTTTGAGTGAAATAATAGTAAAGACACCACCTGCTACGGAGTTAGTCTATGCAGACGCTTCTAATCAAGATACCTTAGTATTATCCTAATTGATTTTCATATCATGGATAACTTGGTCGCGATAGTTAAGTTACAGGGAAGTACGGACACTAGAAGACAAATTAACCAAAGCGTAATAACTATTAAATTCATTGGAAAACAACCAACGCATTATCATCAATATCCATCTCCGTCTAATGTAGCCATTTATGCGTGCTTTTGTATGTTCCCCCATTTTTTGTCATAAGTTTATGCACCATTTTCAACCACCTGGGGAGGTTCCACAGCGCCACGAACTCCTCCCTTTCCACCGATCTCACGGGCAGTTACCTGAACAGCAAGCTGTTCGTTAACGCTGACCATAACTTCAATCTTGCCCTGAGGCTTAACGTCGCGTATAGCAAACTCTGCAATAGGCTTAGAGACATTCCATGCGATTTCACGGACTTCTTCCTCCTCATCTTCCTCATCATCATCATCATCTTCGTCCTCATCTTCATCCTCGGCCTTGGGCTTAGGCTCAACCTTGGTGACCTTAATTTCACGAGTTCCTTCGCAAATACGGACGAGAACATCACCGCCGTCCTTTGGAGCAGGGTATTGTGCGGATCGACGGGCTGGGAGGGCAGTCTCGGTATTTAAAAGTGGCCTAAATATACAATTGGCCTCGTCAGAAGAAACGAGCTGGACACCAATGGCCTTGGAAAGGTGAGCGGTAACAGTGACCATTGGGTGTGTGGATTGCTCGATGTCAGCCATTTCGAATTCCTCAATGAGAGAAGCCTGAATGGCGGCACCCCTGACAGCTACATCGGAGGGGTGAATGGCGGTTGGTGAGGTAGCTGGGGCAAGGACAGTTGTGATATCAGGGAATAGAGACTGGACAAGACGAGCAATCTTTGGAGTATGCGATGTTCCACCACAGAGAATGACCTACACGATGTAAGCATATATTTTAGAAGACTAGACACAAAGTTGAATGTACAAACCTCGTCGATATCGAGCAGATCAAGCTCGGCTTTCTGGACTGCCTGCTTGATGAGGTCGGTGAAGCTTCCAAAGACCTTTCCGGAGAGAAGTTCGTATCTTAAACGGTTAACGTTAGAAGTAAAGTCGATACCATTAGCAAGACTCTCGATGCTCAAAGAGGCGTTTGTGCCAATACTAAGAGCCTTCTTTGTAGCTTCGGCCTCGAGCTTTAGCTTAGCCAAGCTTCGAGTTTCTTCCCTGGGATCTATTTTATGCTTCTTGATGAACTCCTTGGCGAAGTGGTCAATGAGGACCTGGTCCAGCTGGGCACCTCCTAGTTCATAATCATGAGCAGTAGCCAAGATGGTATACATGCCACCTCTGGAGGCGATAACAGTAACGTCAGATCGAGTGCCACCCAAATCGGCAACAACAACAAGCTTGTCGGTGACCACAGCCTCAGGCCGAGCATCGTATGCTACGACGGCAGCAACTGGCTCATGGATGAACTGGAGAACCTCTATACCGGCTCCCTTCGCAGATTCCATCAATGCGGATCGCTGCGCATCGGTGAAATTTGTGGGGACAGTGATGACGGCGGCATTGACCTGTTTGCCAACATATTCAGAGGCAGAGTTCTTTAGGCGACGGAGATGGCGAGTGGTAACTTCAGACACAGTAAGTGTGCTTTTCTCCTCCTCGGTGCCTTCTTGCACAGTGAAAGCAATAGTGAACTCATGCTGTTGTGGGTGAGCGGATTGATGGCATGGCGTAGGGTCTATCGATTTGAATCTGGATATGACGGTCAGCCGAATGCTTCCCAACCAATTGTTCTTTCATCGGAATAGGCTTGATATTACTCTTTTCCAAGAAAATCTCTGAAGTAGGCGATGGTGTCGGCCGGATGTCGGACAATCTGAGATTTGGCTTGTGTGCCATGGTATTCATCACCGTCAACATACGAGATTATGGAGGGGATATGGCGATCTGGAATTGGGTAAAATTTCGAACGTTAGTCTATTGGCCCGATACCAATCTCGAAGGAGGGGATCCCACTAACCTCCATCTTCGTTCGCAATAACTTCTGCTTTTCCATCCTGCCCATGTAACACGCAAGAGTCAGAGAAAGAAATAAAATACAACCTGCGAACAGTTTACTTCAATGGTATCTGGTCTGCCACTTACAGGCGAGGTATAAGCAATGGAACTGTTGGAGTTGCCAAAGGAGATACCGATAGCACACCGCTCAGTCGCATCCGAGGCGACGCCAGCAGCTTGATCGCTCATATTTTCTTCCTTCTGATAAACAAGGAGGTTATGTCGGCCTCCAGAAGAACAGCAGTGTCAACGAAGAATTGGGCTGTTGAGACGGGGTTTCGTGGCGGGCAGATTGGCAGGTCAGCGACTTTTTGGCGGCACAAGAAGTGGAAAAAAACTTTTGCCTCGTTTTGGCTTTTTTTTTCTTCTGGCGGTTGACGAAAGCTTATCGATAACCAACACTTCCTGTACGACGAAAGATGGAAAGAGAAGAACGACCGACATTTCTTTGCTATTTCCATGGAGGGTGTCGAATGCCGTTGGAAGATACTTTATGTTCTCGAATTCATCTTCTATTTACTCTAAAACCCCACGTTCTAAACCCCATATAATAGTTAATTAGATCAATCGCCAAAATGGTAGTCGCCAGAGTATGTATCAACATCGCAACAACAGTCTATTTCACAACGAAAATGCCACATAAAACCGAAAATAAAAAGAAGAAAGAAAATATAGATATACTCTAAGGTATCCGGGAACCAGCTAATCAGTTAGACGCATCCTTCTGGCTCTGGGAGCTGGCACTCATGGTCGGACGGGTGGTGGGGAGCACCTGGCTCGCCATCTCCTTCTGCTTCATCTTGCCGTAGCCGTAGATGAGACCGCTAAAGAATCCCAGAAGAATGGCTGAGACACCACCGAACGTGACCGGAGTGTCGAAAAATACGAGTCCGCTAATTGCAAGTGGGAGCTTGTTCAAATACCCAACGAATGAATAGGTTGTTGACGAAGTCTTGCGAATGCACCAGGCAGATGAGTAGGAGATGAAGATGGCCCCTAGACCTGAGTATAGCATGCCAATGAGAATATTGTTGCGCGATTCAGCCGGGAAGTTCTTGGCCAGGTTAGCTGAAGACCAATTTTCGGTGACCAGAGAACAAATAATCATAATGGGCAGGGATATTAAGTTATTATAAAGCATAGCTAGTTCCGGTCAGTTTGCATTTCCAAAGCTTCGTGATTGATCAATTGGTCGAAGAATGTCACTTACTATCCCAGTCTTTGAAGTTAAGAGAGGTGATAAACTTGCGTGTGCCCAATACGTATAAAGCCGTGCAGATAACATTAAGACCCATCCAGGCATATCCGGCATTCAAGGTAGAGATAGCAGCAGCAGTCTCTCCCGAATGCCCAAAACCATTGACAGCAGCCTGAATATCAGCCCACGCAGCTACGACGGAGCTGAGCACCATACAACCGAAGGACAGCATAATCAGCGGAGTGACGCTTCCACCGAACCACAAGACCTCGCCATACGCAATGACAACGATCGTCAAATTCTTGAAGATGGTATACACCGGAACAGATAGAAATTGAAGAGCCTTGATACTGGTATAGATCATGGTCACGAAGAACACGGACACTGGGAGCCCTGATTCAGAGTATTAGCATGAGAAGAACCCACATAATGCTTCAATTAGCCGTGATATGGATATGTACATTTCTTGACCTTAGTACTTTCTAAAGCAACAAGGTTAGGGATAAATCCCGCTTGCTTTAAGACTAAAATCGCAGCGGTGCAAAGAACGGACTAGTGAATATATGTTAGCGTAGAACATTGATAGAAAATCTCTGGAGTACAAATGAAAATAACGAATATACCTGGATAGCTAGATAAAGGAAGTTCAAATTCCAGGATGAGCCCGAAACGACATACTTGTTCACAACTGTCATACTGATCGAAGAGAAGCAGTAGGCGAGAACAGCCGCACCAGGGCTGTTCTCAAGCTGTGATAAGATCCCACCCATGCTGCCGCTATCGCCGCGAGCCCGGTACTGGGGTGCAGGTCTGAATTTCTCGTCTCTTCTGCTCATATCCTGATCCTCGTTCTTCTTGTTCGACATGATGCTTTCGTTCCAAGGGGTATCAACTGATGGAGACTACTAATCCAATGGTTGTTTCGTGCTACCTCCTCTTGCCCGTGGGGTTTATAGTAGGATATACTCCGTACAATATGTTCGAAATAGAGACTCAAAATCACAGACTCATCTGCGTCCAAAATGCGCCAAACTTATTCATTGATTTGTGATATTCCATCTCTCCTGATTTTTTTTTTTCTTCAGTATTTATTTCAGCCTCGAAAGAGCGCGCGTCGCGAACCCCTTTTGGGAGAATATGCCGATTCTATTGGCTGGCTGATACGATTCTGGGCCGTCCCGGAAGCCAATAAACGACATTATGTGGTTTATGCTTATTTACATAAGTGACCAATGATAAGCAATTATAAAAAATATAACCCAATAATAAAATCTAAATATAACCCAATAAAATGACAATATCAGGTATAGCAAACTCAACGGGCACCTCTCTCTTTCTTCGCGGCAAAGGACTTTGCTCCACGACAGCACAGCATGACTGGGTGAAAGTTTGCCTGCGAGATGCCACCCTGATGCTGACCATGGCTAAATTGAAACCCGAGCCGGAGCTTGTTTTTGAAAGAAAGAACAAGAATCTGCTCAAAATCCCTAAAAGTAGAGTATCCTAGCTAGGGGCTTTCAACCTTGCGTTATTACTCCAGCTCTCACGACAAGATCTAACCATTCCTGCACAGATGCGCGAATTGAGAAACGACCAATTCCTCACCCCCCAGCTGCATCCCCTTATGCAGGAGCCAATGTACCCAAGGTCGTTTATGTCTCAACCAAGTCTCCGTTTATGAGCATTGCGAAACGCGTCCAAAAATTGTTGAGGGAAGCCGAAAAGCGTGCTACACAGAGTATTTGCCTAGGGAATAAGAGGAAATCTAGCAAGGACAAGCTTACACAGCTTAAAAATGCTTCGGAGGCATTACGAAAAGAGCCAGTCTTTATCAAGGCGACGGGGCGTGCCATTGACAAGGCCATGGAAGTGGGAAAGTGGTTTGACAAAAAGGATGGGTTTACCACCAAGGTGAAGACTGGGACAGTCATGGTGGTAGACGATATTGTTCGAGATGAGGTGATAGAAGCTGAAAAGCAGCTCACGGGCGACGCCCAACAAACTGATGACCAAGAAGATGTTGCATCCAAGGCGGATGCTGAAAGGAAGCAGGGAAAGAACAACAGCAAACCTGATAACGGAGATTTATCTGATCTACCCGACTCCAGAACTCGCTGGGTGAACATGGTAGAAATCACAATAACGATGGACTGAGACCTGTATGCGCTGTGGGACAGGTAAGATCGCATCAAATATCACTCTGGTCATTCCTGCACGCATATTTAGGTACCAGGTTAATCTGACAATCAGTCAGTGGATCCAGCTGGCCAGCTAACATTTAACTGAAGGCCACGGCCTGTTGAATGCTGAAGTACTTCTGCCACACCCAGCAGGCGTTGCAAGGCGGCTTTGAGAAGTACTCCACAGAAGCAAGGCATCAGATCGGGCCTTCCCACGTTAACAGTCTTATGTTGGATGCTTTGAATAACATTGGCTATATACAGCTGAGCTGCTCATCATCTATGCTCGCGGAGTATCAATCGTATTAGTTGGGCCTGAGAAAGGACACAATATTTTGAACGTGTAGTTGTCTTGGCATGAGCTGAAGTGCGGATGATGTCACAAGATCTGAGCCTTCTCAATATCAAAGCAACACGCGAGCACCAGCCGCCATAACAATCCAGATATTCAAAAATTACATCTATGTGTATATAACAAGCATTTGCTATATCCTAACCCGGCCTCGTTTTGCTTCGGTCGTGATTACGGACGAACGCGTGTCTCAACTTGTGTGGCGACTATCACAGCATTTTAGTTTGCTCAGCCTCAGGATATCCCGATGCTGCCGTATGGTTTGAGCTCCACGAATATCTCGACTCCATAATATGATCATCTTATAACCCATCTACAGCAATCTACCAATATGTCGAATGTTCACACTCCGCCCCCTTCGTACGGAGAATCAGCACAAACGCCTGCTCCACCTCCGCTGGGCCGGCCTGAACTATCACCTTTAACCCTCGATGGCAATCTGATCTATCCGGTCGTCCCTCCAACAACGGCCCTGTACGAGCTAACTCACGAGCTAGATGCTGGATACAGAAAAATCGGAATTTCCCGTCTTTGTCCCAACAGGAACACAGCCCAGCACGGGAATGTAAGAGAAAAACACATATATGATTTCTCACAACCTATATTTTCTTCTTCCGTTGAGATAACAGGGAAAAGAAAGAGTTGCCTTTCCGCTGCTTTGTGTCTACGTATGTCTCGCGGCATCATTAAGAGAGGATGGGAGCTCTTTCGGCTACGTTTAAACGGACAGACGGACGATCTGATATTTCGCATAAGACCCAGACATAGCCCGGAAAAGCAAGAAACGCTGCAATGGGAAGATGCAAACCAATCTCTCGTTGCCATTGAGACCGTCTGTATACCTGGTGGTTCTAATGTGAGGCCTGTGTTCCACATTGTTTGTGATATGGATGATCGATTTATTGATGCCCTGATCACTGCCTGGTGTGCAAAAATATGGATTGGACACCAATTTAGTGCAGCAGCAATGAGAGACCCGGAAGGCGATATGGGTGCGTCTCGTACTTTCGGGGGTTGATTCAGGTGGATATGTTCTCATTACTTTACGTGGATATTCACGCCCAACACCTTGATGGGATACGGTTTATTGGAATGATGGAGTTTATTATGAATATGGATATATATAATGGTTTTTGGACACAACGGGGGTCACTTCAAATGTCTCGGGAATACTAAGATCAATATGATATTTTCTAGTGAAAATGATCGAGCTTCAGCACAGCCTCGCTATGTAGTGGGGTTATATGCTGTGTTATGCTACTATACTTAATGGTAAAAAGCCCAGAAGAACATTAAATCACCTGGATATGATGCTAGTCTAGAGAGTGTCCGTGGACTAAGTCCAAAGCTACGCAGCAATGCAAGCACTCAATCAGGGTCCAAGGGTGCCTGCTCGACTGTAGAATTCATTCATTTCATTTCCCTACTCCCATCTCCTTCAACACCCGCAAAACCAGCTTCTTCTGTTCCACAACATCCAGCCTCTTCTCATCCGTCTCTCTCAGACACCTCCCAATAGCCACCACCATCATAACCCCAACGTCACCCTCTGCAGAGCTGTCAACCCAAACTTTCCCATTCCTCCCGACAGCAATTTCAAACCCACCATAACTTTCAAATTTCCTCCCCAGCTCTTCCAAAACAATAACACCGCCGGGTCCAGCACCATCTTTCCTTTCCGGACCGGTCATCATCAACCTAGATGCAAACAGAGTGGAAACATCAAACACCATCCCACCATTCAAGGGCCCAAGGCCATCAGGCTCTGCCTTTCCGGTAGCAGGGTTGACGCAAGTAAGTTCGACCTCTCCGCCTGCACCAACGCCCACAGATAGAATACGTGCATAAACTAGCTCGCCAGCCTTAAGCTGCGGCCTTGTTTTCTTTGTTGCTCCTTCAAAGGCGAGTTGACCGAGGAATGCATGTGGTGAGTTAGGAGATATTATGCAGTGAAAGAAATCAGGGCTCGAGTGGTGTATCTGGGCAATTATCAGGTCATTCTGGCATGGTATATAGCGTGTACTGGGAAACGGGAGGATTGAAGTTGTTGCATTCCGCTTGTTGTCGGATGCAAGAAGCCCCGCCTGCGAGGCTGCGATTATTTGTGAGGTCGGCTCCTGTGGCTCTTGTGCTTTGGCCTGTGATGTAAGTAGATGGAGATTTGGCCCTAATTTAGGAGCATTGGGCTGTGATAATTGAAGTATGTCCCCGGGGAGGATGGTTGATGTCATGGTGATCTAGATGAACCCAGCGCCCAACGCCTTGACCGATTGCCTCAGCAACAGTATATTGAGCTGGAGGTATAATTAAAGTGCAGTAAATCAGATCTGCAACACGGACCGTTTGATCGATAATAACTCAAAGCGTTGTAAGTATTATTAAAATAAAATAATGAATAAAAAAAAAAAAATAGAAGCCGGAGCTGATGCCGGCAAAACGTCGCGAAGTTCACTTTTTTTCACTTATCTCAGGCTTATCGATAAAATCACGTGAACTCCCAGGCGCCCTAGAGAAGTTTTAGAAAAAAAGGAGTTGAAAGTTGCCATGTTTCATCCTTGTTTGAGGGCGATGACAGAACTTGTTGCAGTGTTCAGGCCCTCAAAGACGGAGGATACGAAGTTTCGTCGATCGGCGGCGGTCCTGACATTGTTTTTCCCAACGCATCATGATCAACAGAGCGCCGTGCAGACTGTGTAAACGGGCTATTGAATGAACACTGGACTATGACAAAAGCGTACCATGGGTGTTAATATCAGAATCGCTGCATGCGCAACCAAGCAAGAGACAAGACACTCCAAGAGATTGAAGACCCCTCACTTGAACAGTTGCATA